GTCTGATCACGTGATGCCCGGCAGGGCACCGCCAGCCTCACTGTAGCTCCCCATCACACCACCAACACCTAACCTGTTTCTCCTGAAGACTTTCAACACGTAAGTTTAACTTGCACTTATTGTGTACACAGGTAGACTGTGTCCATTGCTTCGTTTATCATTGTGACGACATAAAATTATGGCAAATTAAGTACTCATTGTAAGTGTTAAGATTAGACTAATCACATAGCTATGATTGTTATGTAAATATATATTGGATTAGACATTTATGTGATTGCCTATGTATGATTTATTTGAAATACTAAAATGAATTGTATTCAACAGGTTTGACCGAATTATAATGTTTGAGTTTAACGTGACGAGTCTATTAAGATCCTTGAACAGCCCGGACGGCGGTTATATCCGTAATGGTGCAAGATTCCGGAAATGTCTTGAATGGTGCAAGATTCATTCTCTGTATACCTTTAAATATGTGACCATTTCATAACTAAACACAGTAGTGGAAACCGTTAAATGTAATCCTAATAATAATTAAAGATTACGATTACAATTTCAAGTGTATAGTTTGATTACGATTACAAACACTCAATAACGATTACTGGAACAAGTGTAATTAATGACGACTGCAGATTACGACTAACCCCCATGTCTCTACACCTCACAACAACGACCACTGCCGGCTAACTACGACCTCTTTACCTACACGCCGTCAACAGGACACAAGAACGACCACGGGGAGGAGGAGGAGATAATGTGGTCGTTCTTAGTCATCAAGTCTTACTAAATCCTCCGCCACACATACTCTCCTCCTCCTCTCCCTCCTCTCTCCATTAGTTTGAAAGCTTCCATCCCACGCCCTCCCACTGCTGCCACGCCCTCCCACCTACTGTCTGCACGCCCTCCCTAGCTGTCGGCCACGCCCTCCCATCTGTTGCTATGCCCACCTATTACTGCCACCCCCCCTATCTGTTGTTGTTGCCACGCCCACCTACTGCCGCTGCTTAATAAAAATCTCAAAACACACACTCTCTCTCTCTCTCCTGGGATCATCATCACAGGAGGTTCAAGCACACACGAGGCCAACTTGTTTGTGTTTCCATCTGCCATTCTGAATTTTTCTCACCGCCATGGTAAAGCATATCCGTCACGTTAAACACACACACACACACACACACACACACACACACACACACACACACACACACACACACACACACACAGTGAACCTTCAGGTGATAATTGTGTTTTTTTTACATCTGGTGATATTAAGCGATAATTGCCGGTTAGTAGACAGGTATTTCCCAGGTATGATGATAAAGTGATAGTGTGTTCTCTAGTTTATACCTAATTATTAAGACTCTCTCTCTCTCTGAACTTGACGTTAGGTTAGGTTCAACTCATAACCACTGACCTGTTGACGTTCGCGTCGTAACCGAACCTGACCCAACTTTCACACACACACACACACACACACACACACACACACACACACCACACACACACACACACACACACACACACACACACACACACACACACACACACACACACACACACACAAAAACACGACCAATCACTCACACATCCAATCAATTACGTAACAGCTAGTTCACATCCGCCGGCCAATAACCAATCACGCCAATAACACTCACTCACACAGCCAACCAATCACATTAACGGCTAGTGCACGTTCGCTGGCCAATAACAATTAAGGGATGAACGCCACACACACACACGACCCAGGTAGCTAAGTCACCAGTCTTTTTAAGTATCAAAAACTATGTACCTTGATTTATGACTCATGATTCTATGTCTTGCTGACTCATGACTATGCCTGGCTGACTCATGATTCTATGTCTTGCTGACTCATGACTCTAGCAATCCTGTGAATCAGAGTAAATTCGGATTACATGAAGATTAACAACCCCCCCTGATGATTAAGCACCCTGACCTGATCTGATCTAACCTAATAAGAACAGAAGAACATAAGAATAAGGAGTTCGTACAGTCGATGGCCTGTGCATGGCAGCTCCTGTCGAGAGTTACTACCACTCTTCATCATCCAAGAATCTATCTAGCCTCCTTTTTGAACTTTCCAGAGTTCCCGCACTTACTACAAAGTTGCTAGTTTGTTCCACTCCGTCCACCAATTCTATTTGTGAACCAGTTTCTTCCTATCTCCTCCTAAACCTAAACTTATCCAACTTAAATCCGTTGTTCGAGTCCTATCCTGCTCGATATTATAAGAACTTTATCTATATCCCCTTTATTGATTCCTTTTCACCCACTTAAATACTTCAATCATATCTCCCGCACCTCTTCGTCTTTCTAGGAATGCAAGTTAAGTTTCTTTTAACCTATCCTGATATGGAAGGTTTCTAAGTCCCGAATAATTTTTGTCATTCTTCGCTGCACCGACTCTAGTGAATTTATATCCATTCTATAATAGGGGCACCAGAACTGAACCGCATAATCGAGGTGCGGCCTGACTAGCGCAAGATATAGTTGCAATAAGACCTCTGCACTCTTGATACTTACACTTCTAGATATAAAACCCAATACTCTGTTTGCCTTATTTCGAACATTAACGCACTGTTTTCTAGGCCGTAGGTCCGGCCATAAGTACCCCTAGGTCTCTTTTCACAAGTCGACTTTCTAGGTTGATGTTGTTAAGGCTGTATACATTATAAGTATTTGTTCTTCCAATATTAAGTACGCTGCATTTGCTGGTGTTGAATTTCATTTGCCATTTTTCAGACCACTCCTGCAGTTTATTTAGATCTCCTGTAATGCATTTGCATCCTGCCCTGAATTAATTTGTTGCCCTATTTTGGTGTCATCCGCAAACTTGCTTATGTCACTGCTGATCCCAGTATCCAGATCGTTTATGAGATTATGAACAAGAGTGGGCCTAGCACTGACCCCCTGGGAACCCCACTGGTTACACGGCCCCACTCAGATTTAACACCATCTACGCTGACCCTCTGCGTTCTATCGGTGAGCCATGATTTTATCCAATTTAAAACTTTGCCCTCGATACCATGAGCCTTTAATTTTTCTGAAGCCTCTGATGCGGTATTTCGTCAAATGCTTTGCTAAAGTCCAAGTAAATAACATCGTAATTTTGTCATTATCTACTACCTCGAAGACTTTCCTAAAAACGTTAGCAGATTTGTTAGACAAGATCTTCCCTTGTAAACCCAAAATTAAATAATACTCCTTGCCACCCCTTCCCCCTAACCCCACCCTTTGCCACCCCTCACCAGGTAAGCTCCTAACTCAAGTTCATTTCCGGTGAGAGCGGCAATTAGCGGCCACAAAGGCAAACTAACTGCAGCGTAATGAAAGCGTTCACTGACGAGACGCAAGCACGCACACATCACCACTAACGGGAGAGCAAGCAAGCAACGGGGCGAATAAGTAAGCAAGCAACGGGGCGAATAAGTAAGCAACGGGGCGAACAGGTAACAAGGGGCGAACAGATAAACAATGCAAGCACTACCCCTTGTGACATGGTTGTGGGGATCATACCTTGTTGTGTTTGACCTTCACCATGAGGAGTGAAGTGAGGGGTAGTGAGGAGTGAAGTGAGGGGTAGTGAAGTGAGGGGTAGTGAGGAGTGAAGTGAGGGGTGATGGAGGGGGGAGGGGGGGAGTGATGGGGGTGAGGAAGAGGTTGAGGGTGAGTGAGAAGGAGAATGAAAGGAGTGGGAAGAGGGTGCCTCCACTAAGAAGTCCCTCATCCCTTTGTTGTGGCAAATCTGACTCAATCGCTTCCTTCATCCTGGATTCTAGAGCTGCGGTGAGGAATGGACAGACAGACGCGCAGATGGTGGGATGAACACACACACACACACACACACACACACACACACACACACACACACACACCTCTCTGCATGCCTGACAATAACAACGGGTGTATGCTGGGAAAGATAATAATCAGTCTACGAGCTTTTTAACAAGTCTCACCCACTCGCTCACTCACCATCACCATCAGCACCATTATCACCACAACCACTATCACTACCACCATCATTACCACTCACCACAACTACTACCATCTTCTCGTGATCTCTGTCTTAACAAGTAGGTAGAGATCATCTGAGTCATACACCACAAAACCAACCAACCAACCCAGACAGACAGACATACAAAAACATCAGCTCATGAGAGAGAGGCAGGCACTGATGGCACTCTTGATCACCAACAGTTGTCGTGCCAGGGATCCAAGGTCACGGCCAACTCTTGTTTATCATGCCAGAATATGACCCACTTACTCCCACACGGTCAAACACAGATAAACAACCATTACCAGACGGTTTCTATGGTCTCTAGATGGTCTATGTCACTCTTATGTGGTCTCTAGATGGTCTATGTCACTCTTATGTGGTCTCTGGATGGTCTATGTCACTCTTATGTGGTCTCTGGATGGTCTATGTCACTCTTATGTGGTCTCTGGATGGTCTATGTCACTCTTATGTGGTCTCTGGATGGTCTATGTCACTCTTATGTGGTCTCTGGATGGTCTATGTCACTCTTATGTGGTCTCTGGATGGTCTATGTCACTCTTATGTGGTCTCTGGATGGTCTATGTCACCTTTATGTGGTCTCTGGATGGTCTCAAGAGAACCACATCCAGATGGTCTCTTTGGTCTCTTAATCTTCAGGTGATATAAACTGTGATGTTTTAATCAACAGGTGATCACAAGGTCAGAACCAGTTAAGTTTATTATTTTCGGGGTGTGGGTGACCTTTAACACCAATCACCTGCTGGTGGTGATAGTGGTACAGGTGGTGGGCGGTGGAGACAGGTCCTTATGGTGGTGGTGGTGGTGTAGGATGGTAGAGGTGGTGAAAGTAGTAGGTGGCAGCAAAACCCATATATGTACACTGTATAAACTTTCTCCATCACCACCAGAGAGGAATTTGAAGAGTCGTCACGCTTCAAGAGACTCCCCCTCTTCATCCCCGAGAGAAAACCCAAGGATTTATCCAGGCATGACGAGAGGAGACACAGAACCACGACACAGCACCACGCACACAGCACCACGACACAGAACCACGACACAGCACCACGACACAGAACTACGACATAACCACGACACAGAACCCCGCCACAGCACCACGACACAGAACCCCGCCACAGCACCACGACACAGAACCCCGCCACAGCACCACGACACAGAACCCCGACACAGCACCACGACACAGAACCCGCCACAGCACCCACGACAGAACCCCGCCACAGCAGCACGACACAGAACCCGCCACAGCAGCACGACACAGAACCCCGACACAGCACCACGACACAGAACGCCACAGCACCACGACACAGAACCCGCCACAGCAGCACGACTCAGAACCGCCACAGCACCACGACACAGAACCCCGCCACAGCACCACGACACAGAACCCGCCACAGCACCACGACACAGAACCCCGCCACAGCACCGACACAGAACTACGACACAGCACCACGACACAGAACCCCGCCACAGCACCACGACACAGAACGCCACAGCAGCACGACACAGAACCCGCCACAGCACCACGACACAGAACCCGCCACAGCAGCACGACACAGAACCCGCCACAGCACCACGACACAGAACCCCGCCACAGCACCGACACAGAACCCCGCCACAGCACCGACAGAGAACCCCGCCACAGCACCACGACACAGAACTACGACACACCACGACACAGAACCCCGCCACAGCAGCACGACACAGAACCCGCCACAGCACCACGACACAGAACTACGACACAGCACCACGACACAGAACCCGCCACAGCAGCACGACACAGAACCCGCCACAGCACCACGACACAGAACTACGACACAGCACCACGACACAGAACTACGACACAGCACCGACCAGAACCCGCCACAGCACCACGACCAGAACTACGACACAGCACCACGACCAGAACTACGACACAGCACCACCACATAACCCGACACAAACGCCACAGCACACGACACAGAACCCCGCCACAGCACCACGACACAGAACGCCACAGCACCACGACACAGAACCCGCCACAGCACCACGACACAGAACCCCGCCACAGCACCGACACAGAACCCCGCCACAGCACCGACACAGAACCCCGCCACAGCAGCACGACACAGCACCCCGCCAGAACCCGCCACAGCACCACGCCACAGCCTGCAGGATGAAGCTGTTCCCCGAGAGGTCTTGTTCCAGACGTCCTTCAGGTTATAGTGGCACCTACAGGAGCCAGGAGTGACTAGTGCCATCTGACTAAACAAACATCTACTTGGGTGAACAGCTGGTGGTGATGGCACACAAACCCCTGAGGACCAATTTGGCACTATTACTGCACCCACCCCATGATCACCCTCCTTCCCATCTCTCTCCTGGTTTCTCTCTCTCCCTTCTCCTTAGTGCAGATGGGTGTTGTTCTTTCTCCTGGCTACCCACCCCTATCTTCCTCTCCCACCTCCTCTCTATCTTCTCCTCCACCTCCTCCCCTCTTCCTCTCCCCACCTCCCTTCCATCTTCCTCTCCCCACCTCCTCCCCTATCTTCCTCTCCCCACCTTCCTCTCTATCTTCCCTCTCCCCACCTCCCTCCCTATCTTCCCTCTCCCCACCTCCTCTCTATCTTCCTCTCCCCACCTCCCTCCGTATCTTCTTCTCCCCCACCTCCCTCCCCATCTTCCTCCTCCCCACCTCCCTCCCTCTTCCCTCCACCTCACCACATCTCCCTTCCACCAACCTCTCCTTCCCCCCTCCATTCCCTACCTTATATATACACATACCTCCGCCCCGCCCACACACAAGGTAATGCTCTTCATTGCCATTGTGTGGTTGACAGAAGTGACTGTGGTTGGCAGGATGGTAGTATAGGTGTTCAACCCCTCCCTGCAAACACCAACCCACCCACCCCACCACGCCCCCCACCACGCCCCCTCCCCCCTTCAAGGAGCCTTAACTGTGTACCGATTACTAACACGCATTAGGTCCTGTTTTGGCCATACCTATAAAAACAACAACAACACACACCCAGGTTAAGATCCATTGATATTATTGTCCAAGGTAGGTATGTTTGGTTACACACACACACACACACACACACACACACACACACACACACACACACACACACACACACACACACACACACACACACACACCTGTAGTGAGAAGGATCAACAAACATTCGATTCAAACATCAGGTTAGGTTAGGTAGTTTAATCCTCCTCCTCCTCCTCCTCCTCTCCCTCCTCCTCCTCCTCCTCCTCCACCGTGAAGGACACACTCAAAACTCACTAATCAAGGCCCTCAACACCCCCCCTCCCCACCGGCCATGACAGGTGACCCAAGATGACAAAACAGGTAATTGTCCCCCCCACCCACCCCCTCTCCTCTCCTACCTGCAAGTGGACCATAACTCACTTCAACAGAAGGAAAACAAGGGTTCTGGAACTCACCCCCCAAGTGAAGCAACACACACACACACACACACACACACACACACACACACACACACACACACACTCAGCTATCAAAACTCATAAATTTTTTTCCATATAATTTGTTCATTAACAAGACAATTGAACTGACAGACGCAGAACGCACACACGGGCGCAAGAAGACAGACAGACGGACGGACGGATGGGTGGGTGGCATCCCTAAGACCTCTTCCTGAGAATAAGAGGCTCCGCAGAGGTGAATTCTCACACACACACACACACACACACACACACACACACACACACACACACACACACACACACACACACACACACACACACACACACACACACACACACACACACACACACACACACACACACACACACACTACCAAAAACAGGCTGAGACAAAAATCCCAGAGATGTTGGGGTGAGAGGGTTTGATCCAAGCACCTCGAACAAATGAGTCAAGTTTTTGCTTGTGGCCGCATTCACCCAGTAGCCACTCCACCCCCCTCATTCCTTCCTCCTCTCCTCTCCCGCCATTCCTCTTTCTGGTTTAGCCTACTCTTACTGTTCAGCCCCTCAGCTTAATTCACCTGAAAATTAACCACCCTAGCGCCAACCTAACCTAACCTAACCCTCATTAATTGTTTCAGAGACGGACACACACATAGGCCTATATACACAAAAACAAACACTTAAAGGTCTACAGTCTACACAAACGCATAGGCCTACACAAAACACACACACACAGATCTACACATACTCAAGCCTACACAAACACACACACATAGGATTACATACATACATACATACACACACATGAATATCACCAACTACACACGAGTGAGGGGTAGGGTAGGGGACACCTACACTTATACTCATCCTATTAACACTCATACTTATCCTGGCAACTCTAATCCTACTTACACCCACTACTGATCCTCACCGTCACTCCCCCCATCCTCCTCACCTCCACTACCAACCCTCATCATGGCCACTACCAACCCTCATCATGGCCACTACCAACTCACCATTACTACCATCATGGCCACTACCAACCTCACCATGGCCACTACCATCATGGCTACTACCAATCCTCATCATGGCCACTACCAACCCTCATGGCCACTACCAACCCTCACCATGGCCACTACTAACCCTCACCATGGCCACTACCAACCCTCACCATGGCCACTACCAACCCTCATCATGGCCACTACCAACCCTCATCATGGCCACTACCAACCCTCACCATGGCCACTACCAACCTCACCATGGCCACTACCATCATGGCCACTACCAACCTCACCATGGCCACTACCATCATGGCCACTACCAACCCTCACCATGGCCACTACCATCATACTACCACCTCATCATGGCCACTACCAACCTCACCATGGCCACTACCATCATGGCCACTACCAACCCTCACCATGGCCACTACCATCATGGCTACTACCAACCTCACCATGGCCACTACCATCATGACTAAACCTCACCATGGCCACTACCAACCTCACCATGGCTCTACCATCATACCCCTACCATTAACCCAACACCTCACCATACTACCACAACACCTCACCATGGCTACAACCAACCCTCACCATGGCCACTAAACCCCTCACCATGGTCACAACCAACCTCACCATGGCCACAACCAACCTCACCATGGCCACACATCACCCAGACATAAAAAGCTAAATTGATCGCATGGTTGATCTTATCTTCACTCCCGCTATAAGCACCATTCTAAAACAATGCAGTAGTCAGGGTCTCTAGATCAGCTGCTGAGGGGAGGAGAGGGGAGGGGGAGGAGAGGGGTGAGGGGGGAGAGGGGTGAGGGGGAGGAGGGTGAGGGGGAGGAGGGTGAGGGGGAGAGTGGGGTGAGGGGAGGAGTGGGGTGAAGGGGAGGAGAGGGAGGGAGAGACCAGGTATGTACTTTGTGTCTCAATTTCTCACTGATACACCTGGATTAATTTGTTTTACCTGACTCTTAATATATCACCTGTCAGTCTTCTCAAACACGTACAGATTCACACACACACACGATTTCACACACACACGTGTGATTTTATCAAGATATATATATATATATATATATATATATATATATATATATATATATATATATATATATATATATATATATATATATATATATATATATGCAAGTAAATCACTGTAGTAGCAAGGATTTGATAAAGAGTGAGGGTGACCAGGTCCACAATGGTCAGGTCTCACCCTCCTCTGTATATACACCTTGATTTGTATTACTCTCTAGTCTGTATCACCCCTGAAGATGAATTACACGAAAGCGCTTGGGAACTGTGTTTCTTTCTTTCCTTGTGGTTATCACATATATATATATATATATATATATATATATATATATATATATATATATATATATATATATATATACAGTATATTAAATCCACCCACACCACTACCACCACTCCCACTACCACTACTACCACCAAAACCAGTCCCTCTACCACCACCTGGACCGGTTTGTTCTAAATGGATGTTCGCTTGTTAGTACTTGGGCGGAGTCTGCGCACCCTGCATAACTGCGCTTTAACGAGGCTTAAGGCACACACACACACACACACAAGAGACAGACAGACACATCAGTGATTCGTTGAGTAAATTTTAGAGACTATAAATAGCTTAATAGCTTATAACACCCACTGGATACCTCACTTTCACCTCTCCCTCTCTCCCTCCTTCTCTCCTACGTGACTCCACCGTTTGCTTACCAACTCAACTGCCTGCTTGTTCTGTCTGATTACCGTCCTGATTGCTTCGTCTACTTACCAGCCTCTCTTCACTGCCCACTGTTGACGGCCACTCAGGGTGATCAACTTACCTGTGGAGACAAAGGAAATTAGTTAAGTTAATTGGGTTGGGTTGGGTTAGGTTAGGTTTAGGTGGAGCTAAGGTAAGCCAAGCCAGGGTAGACACACACCATACCACGCCACACCATACCACGCCACAATACACCACACCACAGGAGGCCGAGTCGTAGATACCCTGCTGATACAAGGTCGACCGAAACCACAACACCACACACACACACACACACACACACACACTAATACCTACAATAACTACCTGCGGGTTACAGCGTTGGGTGGTAAACAAAACATACTGGGGGTGGTGGGGAGAGTAGGAGAGGAACGTGAGGAGAGAGAGAATAAGGAGAGGGGACGTAGCGAGGAGAGGGAGGGAAGGAGGAAGAAGGCAAGTGAAGGAGAATGGGGACAGCAAGAGAAACGTGAAGGAGAAGAGAGATGGTATGTGAAAAGAGAAGGAAGGGGTGTGTGTGTGTGTGTGTGTGTGTAAACCCCTTTCCACCCTTCCTCCCAGGCCAGCGTCCATCAAGGTCACCCCATCAATGCCCTGACCATCGGCAAGGTCACCACAGTGTTTACATAACATCGTACATAGCTTGGGGGGAGGGGGGAGCACTATACTAAACGAGAGAGAGAGAGAGAGAGAGAGAGAGAGAGAGAGAGAATGTTGACAGACCTGTTGAAGGTTAGGAGGTGTCTCTAGCTTAAAACACCATTAAGACGGCATATTTACCCCTTCCTTATGTACTTGTGTTAGTTAATGCCCTTCTGTGTGTGTGTGTGTGTGTGTGTGTGTGTGTGTGCTGTGTGTGTGTGTGTGTGTCTGTGTGCTGTGTGTGTGTGTCTGTGCTGTGTGTGTGTTCTGTGTTGTGTGTGTGTCATCACCATATGTGGCTGGGAACATGACCCACTCCCCTCTCTCTCACCAGACTCAGAGATATAT